TGAGTGACATAACTCTATTTACGCCACCCCAAACCTCTCCCTATATATACGCCAATAGCTATATACTCTGCTATTTCTAAACTAAAATCAATGAGTTGTAAGCACTAGAACTAATAGACCTAATAGCCATAGAATGTAATCAAATGTTTCTCATGTTGATGTGTGTAATTAATTCACCATTTTAGTCTTACCTGCTTCATCTGCCTTTACTTTCCACCTTTATCGTCTTCTGCAGCTTGGACCCTCTCACCTGTACTGCCACCTGATTACCATTGATTATTTACCTGTGCCGTGTATATACAGTAGGTGCTCATGTGGTAGTGATTATATTGAAGTATTTATTTAATCTTCTCAGTAGATTTAAATGGTCTAATGTCATACACCTCGCAGTAATATACTTCTCTATATAATGAACTTGTTTATAAATACATTCCGTTGAGGGTTTTACATTTAACGGACCTCTCGATATAAGGGACTTTTCTCTCTATATAGTCCGTTAAATAGAGGTTTATTATTTTCAGCATCGGTATAAATCATCATAATAATATCAAGAAAGATTAGAAGTGGATTAGTAGAATAGCCATCCCAGATTAATCCACCTTAAGACTAACTCTCCCAACATTAATCTAACCCCTGTTGTTAACGTTAGGGTGTTTAATCTTCAGGTGAAATAAGCTGTGGTGGCTAATCTCCAGAATCCTAATTAATGTTGTTCTGCATCTCAATTATTTTAACTTTTATTTACGTGTTGTGGGATTTTGTTTCTTATATCATTCAGTTATAAGGTTTGTTTTAATTTGTATCTCTAGGAAAGGATTATATGGTGTAGTATGTGGTGATGGTGTTACAGTGGTGATAATGGTGCAGTGGTGATGATAGTGCTGTGGTAATAATGGTGCAGTGGTGATAATGGTGCAGTGGTGATGATAGTGCTGTGGTGATAATGGTGCAGTGGTGATAATGGTGCAGTGGTGGTGTTACAATGGTGATAATGGTGCAGTGGTGATGATGGTGCAGTGGTGATAATGGTGCAGTGGTGATGATAGTGCTGTGGTAATAATGGTGCAGTGGTGATGATGTTACTGTGTTGATAATGGTACAGTGGTGATAATGGTGCAGTGGTGATGATAGTACTGTGGTGATAATGGTGCAGTGGTGATGATGTTACTGTGTTGATAATGGTACAGTGGTGATAATGGTACAGTGTTGATGATAGTACTGTGGTGATAATGGTACAGTGGTGATAATGGTACAGTGATGATAATGGTGCAGTGATTAAAGTAGAGAAACAATGGTAATGGTGTTCAAAGTAAAACACTAATAATGGAACACTAAATAAAGAGTAATGGCCTAGTGGTGTAGTCCTTGTACAATAGTGGAGCAGCTTATGTCTTGGGGTACAATTTCTCTGGTAAGATTCAGACATAAATATTAACTAGACATATTCTTGTTCTTACACTACAAGACACATCAAATTCCACCCAATTTCAATCCATTTAATGTCTTAATATATAATAGTTTCTCAATCTATGTATAATAGCTTTCAATGTATATACAACAGTAATTTATATAAGTTTAGTATTTTAAGGACAAGTTAGAAGTATCGTATATAAACAAGATATATTTATTTCGTTTATACTCTAAGTCTCACATACTCATTATTTTTCGTGACATGAAGAATATTATTTACAGAATTAGTGAATGTACACATGAGAATATACAAGAAATGCTTCAGTATTTACGACATATAATTGATACATTTGTAAGTTAACAGCACGTTAGAGGGTGTATTTTAATTATAGATATTCTTAAGTCATCCAGTTATGGTTAGGTTAGGTTAGGTTATTATTATGGATAATTGTATCTTATTCCCCTCCCTTCCCCCTCTCGAGAACTGCAGTAATTGAGCAAAATAATATCCTGCTTCAGATACTCTAGGAGGTGAACTGAATATTTTGTTTTTAACACATCAAGATCCTAGAAGTAATACCTGGATGATGCTATTTGGACACTAGAACATTTTTAGTTTCCATTTTACAATAGATTCTAATGGCGAATATCTTTCCTTAGGTCCCACGGGAAAGTCCAAGTCCACAGCTTCTTATTCAGTTCATGTCCCTCATTATGACAAACTAGAACCATCTGTTATATCTATCCTGGCGGTGCTGCTGAAGACGCGCTCACAAGTTCCTCGCTGGCCTGATCATGATGGACGATGAGCGGAGATATTCCTTGTTACGCCACATGTGCCAGTTGATGCCAATGCCGTCGCCTGATTCCTTGTATGGGCCGTTTAGGTTGGCCCACGAGCACCTGTTGAACCACCAGCCTCCGATCTTCCAGTACTTGGCGCAGTTGATCTCGTGGGAGGTGTCATGGTCCTCGTCGTGGGTGGTGAACATCATCCCGTCGGCGGTGAAGTTGTCAGGTTTTCCCTCGTTGCCCAGAGCGTCGCCTGCTGTACCACTGTAGCCAGAAATATGAAGTCGGTAGCCCTGAGCCTCATTCTCGATGTGGAAACGGTCGTATTGGGCGTAGGCAGACTCACCCTCGAAGTCGGTGAGATCTATACGCATCTCATAGTGTCGAGTGTTCGTCAAGATGTATATGTTTTCCAGGCCAATCCAGTAGTCACTAGAGGCGTTGCCGAAGCCCATCTTATAGTCGTACCAGCCACGGTTGAAGTCTGTGGCGTGGGCGTGTTGAAGACGCCTCTGTATGACCGTCCACCCACCTCCGTCAGTCTCCATATCACAGAAGACGGTCACTGGTCTCTTACCGTTGTGGTCCATGTGAAAGGTGTACACTGTAGACTCTTTCTTCCCTCTCGCAAGTAGATCAGCACAGTCGAGCACCGTGAGTCGGGCGAAGACATCGCCAGCAGTCTGCTCCACACTGGTGACGCGAGACTTGAGCACGTTCAATCTCCTAGTTAAGGCTTCATACATCCGTCTCATGATGACCACCAAATCTCCCTCATTTTGAAAAATATCTTCGTCAAAATTGTCGTCTTCCATACGATGTTCCTCAGTCACTTCGTCTGGAGTGTTTTCAACAACGTGATCGAGAGACGCAATATCATTATGCTCAGGGACAGTGGGCGTGTGCTGGGTCGTGGTGGTGACCGCAGTCGTCACAACCTCCGCTACGTCATTATCACCTTTGTCCATTAACCCGCCTTGAATGTCGTTAAGTCCTAGTGGCAGGTCGTTCTCGTGTTCCGCTTTAATCAAGGGAAGCTTCATGATCCCCCCAGCGAGAGGATGTTGAACTTTGAGAATTTCTGCATCGTTCCTCCCTCCGTCGACGGTGCGCCCCTCACTGCACGTCACCAACACAGTCACCACGAACACACTCCACAGTTTCGCCATCTCCGCCTCAGTTATAGACGGATGGTATATCACCCAAGTTCTTCAACTGATGTCGGGAGGTGATACACTGCTTAAAGTTATCTTACACGCCGGGTCCCTCCCTCAGACTGAAGTAAGAGCTGCCCCCGGGAGCGACAATGTTCCCTCAGTGATGGTCGCGGGCTGACTGACTTCCCTACACGCCCGCTACCCCACCCTCTCACACGATTACCACCACGGTCCAAAATACTCAGAAATATGTATTGTTCATTATTTTTTGGTCTGCTATCGTCGGTATCTTGTTATCATAACGTAAATCCTTCAGTTTGTTACTCTAATTCTGTAAGACACGCAACAATTTCTCCAAGATCTGATATTTAACTGTTTTTGTATAAGTCACAGTCAGGAAGTGTGTGTGTGTGTGTGTGTGTGTGTGTGTGTGTGTGTGTGTGTGTGTGTGTGTGTGTGTGTGTGTGGCAAGAATCCATTTACTATTTTTCTATGGGGACTTGCTATGGGAAGAAGGAGATAAATGTATAGGAATGAGAACACAGAGAGAGAGAGAGAGAGAGAGAGAGAGAGAGAGAGAGAGAGAGAGAGAGAGAGAGAGAGAGAAGTATTGACAAACGTGGAAAATAAAGAGGAAACAGAGAAGGAGGCTGGACTATAGTGATAGGGAGGGAGGTCATGGAAGGAGGGAGAGGGTGCCATGGAGGGAGGGAGATGGAGGAGGGAGGGTGCCATGGAGGGAGGGAGGGTGCCATGGAGGGAGGGAGGGTGTCATGGAGGGAAGGAGGGAGGGAGGGAGGTACTATCGCGGGGGTCAGTGTGTTTGGGGGTGTGTCTGGCCTCACGCTTCCGGTCACTAGATTAGTAAGGGCGCTCAGTACTCCCTCCCTTCCCTCCCCTCATACCCTCCTTCCATTCCCTCCCTCCTAACCTCTCACCATTCCGTCCCTCCCTCCTCTCATTTCACCCAAACCCTGAATTTCACTCTAACCTAACCTAACCACCTGTCTTAGTCATATTAATCCATCCGTCTATACCTGTCATCCAATATGTTAACCCGTCCAACATACCACCAACCTGTCCATCCATTCATCTTAAATACAATAACAAAAACACACGATGTAAACTTCCTAAAAATTACGGCAAAATTTACCCCCCAAAAAAATCCTGACTCCAGAATGTAATGGTGAAATTGTGTTGTGGATAGTGTAGTGGTGTTGTGAGCTGAGACCTCCATGATAATAGGCTGGGTCACAGATGGGAGGGGTTAGCGAAAGGGGACAAGGTCACGTATTGGTCCAGATAAACAGGTCAGGTTATTGTGAAGGGGGAGGGGGATGTATGTTTGTATGTCTGTCGTGAGTATCGTATGACTATCTCATGTGTGTGTGTGTGTGTGTGTGTGTGTGTGTGTGTCGTGTGTGTGTGTGTGTGTTTTATGAGTATTGTGTGCGTGAATGTCGAATGTATGTGTGTGTTTTTTGAGTAGTGCATGTATGAATGTCGAATGTATGTGTGTGTTTTTTGAGTAGTGCATGTATGAATGTCGTGTATGTGTGTATGAGTGCGCACGTACATTGTTCATATAGATTAATGAGGATGATTGCTGACAGATGGAGGGTGTTTGTCGCACAGCCTTTACTTGAGGTCATATGAAGGCCCTATAGTTTGTACGATGCCGTGTGTGTGTGTGTGTGTGTGTGTGGCGGGGGTGGCCAGGCGTGTGTATGGGATGACCAGGCGTCTGTGTAGAGTGACCATCTGACCATCTGAGTTACGTAAAGTGGACTTGTGAATCATAACCATCCCTCGTGTTCTCTGAAGTTCTAATTATCAACAAAGTGGTGTTCTCGAGCTGTAGCTAAAACAAAACTTTCACCCGAGTATGTAAAGAGTGACGCACGTTATCATCCTGTGTGCCTCGCCTTCGCCTCCGAGAAAGGTAAACACAAGGTCACTGTCCTGGAAACATAAACATGAGTAGCTGTTGACATATGACTAACGCCATCCGCTTACCAGAACCCACAAGAAATAACACCGTAATTAACTCAATGAAGAACAGGGAGGGGAGAGTTGAATGTGTCTTGGCATTTCTTTCATAACTAATTCATGTCTGGTTGTATGTCTTATTCCTGTTATCTTATGTTTCCTCGGTGTCTTATGGCTATTAAGACAACAAGTTTTAAGAGAAGTTTCATCCTACTCTGAGTTAACCTTACTCTAGGGGGGCGCTATACCTTACTGTGCCCGCTCTGTGATCACACTTGATCAAGTTACAGACGGGGGAATTCTGGACTCCTCCTCAGATATCAACACTGTGAGAGTGAGGAGGAGGAAGAGGAGGAGGGGGAGAGGAGGAGGGGGAGAGGAGGAGGGGAGAGGAGGAGGGGGAGAGGAGGAGGAGGAGGAGAGAGAAATCCGACAGAGAGAACGAGAGGTTGGAAAGCCAGGATGAAAAATGGGATTTTTTTTATTAAAGCTGATGAACTCTCCTGAATTAATATGTGTTGAATTTTTTTTTGCCTGTGAGAATCAATGTGCGACACTGGCCTTCTGTAGTCTTCCCCGCTACCACGACCACTATTCACTACTATCACCACCACCACCACCACTATCACCACTACCACGACCACTATCACCACCACCACCACTATCACCACTACCACGACCACTATCACCACCACCACCACCACCACCACCACTATCACCACTATCACGACCACTATCACACCACTATCACCACTACCACGACCACCACCACCACCACCACCACCACCACCACTATCACCACTACACGACCACCTATCAACACCACCACCACCACCTATCACCACTACCACGACCACTATCACCACCACCACCACCACCCACTATCACCACTATCACGACCACTATCAACACCACTATCACCACTACCACGACCACTATCACCACCACCACTATCACCACTACCACGACCACTATCACCACCACCACTATCACCACTGTGACCACTATCACCACCACCACCACCACCACCACCACCACCACTATCACCACTACCACGACCACTATCACCACCACCACCACCACCACTATCACCACCACCACGACCACTATCACCACCACCACCACCACTATCACCACTACCACGACCACTATCACCACCACCACCACTATCACCACTATCACCACCACCGCCACTATCACCACCCTGCATCTCTACCATCATTATCTCCCCACACCACAACCATCTCCACACCCCACACCATCTCCCCACACCCACACCATCTCCTCACACCTCACACCATCTCCCACCCACACCCCACACTATCTCCCCACACCATCTCCCCACCCCACCCCACTATCTCATCCCACACCATCTCCCCACACCATCTCCCCACACCACCATTGTATTGCCCTGGGAACTATGAGTCAAGCTCAGCGTGTTGTCACTTATCACAGCGAGCTGAAAGGATTTGGAGAGGACAGTGCCATCCCTCAGCTTCACTTTAGGTCGTAATTCACCTTCCAGAGAGAATGAAACTCGACCTTTTTCTATCCTTGGTCATTATGTCTACACTTATCTGCAAGAGAACATAATGAAGGCATTTCCTCCAGTTCTAACTAACTCAAGGATGACTCTTACCTCCTCCTCCTCCCAAGAAATGACTTAAGGACAAAAAGCGAACCCAGGGCAAGACGCGCACCGAATTCACCAACATCTCTTCGTTAAATCCCACCCGAAATATAGATATCAGAGCGTAAACAAACGATATACTTCTGCTTGAACTCCTACAGTTGGTCAGGATAGTAAACAATTACAGACTCGAGTGGTAAGACAATTCGTTATCATTAGTCACTAGGGAGATTATTTTTTGTTTTCACGTAAGATAATTTGTGAATCTGTTCCTTGGTGTTCACAGGTCCCACGGCGTGTTAATGAGGACTAATGGAGGGAAGTGAGGTGGCGTGGTGGCCCTCTCCTCCCGAGTGTTGTGCCTTCGTTGAGTGTTTTCAGAGTATTAGGTTAGGTTAGGTTCGGTTCGGTTAGGTTAAATAATAAATTCCATAATGCAACAACTTAATGTTACTGGATAATGGCCTTCTCCCCCTCCCCCATGACGTCATATCCGATGTTGTGATCACCAGATTAGTTAGTCAGCCAGCCAGCCAGTCAGCCAGCCAGCCAACCAGTCTCGTGTTATTTCTGCCAGATATCATGTACGCTGATCAGATCATTAGCACAGGTGTTGCGAGGTGAGGTAGCCAAAGTAAATCACGTATGTAGCTCAGTGAATCGTGGGCGTGAGTTATGAGTGAGAAACAAACACAGAAGAAGTGGTGGATGGTTACAAGGCGTTTCCGTTATGTCTTGTAAAACACTTCCGTCGCATGGTGGATCTTGTTGTCATTTTTGGTATATGGTGAGACGACGGCCAACATCACGCCACGTTATAGTAGGTACAAACAACACAGCCGCATAGGTATTCATATTATACAAGAGATCACTTCGGGACGGCCACCCAACACTGCAACATACCCTCTGTCAGCCCCCTGTTGAATGTTATCAATACACCCTCGAGTTTGTTTCCCTCACAAACTTATCTGAAGAGAACATTATTAAGTACACGAGGCATTGAGGTACATTATCTCCCAGAACACTGTTGGGTCATCGAGTTAACTACTTCTACCAGAGCTCCTTCGGATTATTAGACAGTAATACCAGCGCTAAACTTACATACAAACCCTCAACAGCGGTGTGTGGACCAGCCTCCAACCTGCTGCCGGCAAGTGTCCGAGAATTCGTGAGGTTGTAAGACGTAAGAACATAAGAATGGAGTAAGCTGCAGCGGGACTATTACCAGCACCCCAAGAATCACTTATATCATCCCTCCAGTGAGACAAAAACACTGTCTTAATGAACTCTGACCGACACCTTTGCTCTGTAGTGTCGCCCTTGACTCCCAGAGCTAAGAACCTTCTGCCACTGCATAGGTTAAGTTCTCCCAGACTAATAAGTGATAAACCAAGACGTGAACACCGAAAACATTAACTTGACTCATTTAACGCTCCAAAAGTTATGAAAACGCATTCCAGATTAGCTAAAAACAGGAAGCCAGGTTGACTCTCTGAACACCTGTGATCAAAATGAAACACCTGTGGTGGTCAGCATCAGACACGTGTATTTCTCGCCACGTAAAATCAACGAAAA